TTATCCGAGTAGTTGGAAGCTGCCGGAAGGGGAGCTGTAGTCAGTGCAGTTGTCGCAGGATTTGTCTGAGAAATATTTTGCCGGCTTGGTGTGGATGGCCTTGGTGTGCCTCCACTTGGGCCACTTCGGTGCACACTAGAGATTTCCGGGTTAGTTACATGGGCAGTTGAGGTTGTCGTCTTTGTCACAGGTTCATTGAAATGAGGATGGCTAGGAGTTTGTTGTGGTTGCATAAGGGCTGGAAAATTTAGATTGGTTGTGTTGGAGGCATGGGTTACAGGCCTTTTGCCATAAGGCTCACGGCCTACGGCCCCAGTGGATGATGAGACATTAGTAACAGAAGAGGTTACCAATGCAGGCTGAGGGTTAAAGAGGCTAGAAACGCTCCCTTCAGTGGCTGATTGGAGCATCATTGGCGGCGGGGGTCCCTTCCATGTAGAAGTGCCACTGCGGCAATTTATTAATTTACAAAATATGAAAAATAAATCCACTTTATCATTAGTAGAATTGAGATTAAGATTTTTCAGCTCTTCTAAACGATTAATTCTGTTGCTGAGGTAGTCAAATGTAATTATTTTGTAAACTAAGTAACGTTACATATATATGCATCCAGAGCATTATCGTTTGCTCAATTGATCCTACTCTATGAATAAGAAAGTGAACCAAGTCAACGCAAAAATCAATTTATACAACTGAAAACACTTCCAAAATGAATAAATAAGTAATATATAATCAAAAGTCGTTATAATTTATAACCATGGAGTAAAGCTATAATAAAAATTGGATCAAAAACATTAATCGTAGATGAGAAGACCAAGATAAAGTGGCCTTAATTTGGGTCACAATCTCTTTAAGCTCTATAGCGTTGGTCTGACCTCGTTTTTACAACTTGGTCGGAGAGACAAGGAGACCTTGTGGCATAAACCCAGCCCAGTGTTCTCTGCCATAAAATCCATGATGGTTCCTAGCATCAAATGGTTGACTTGGTATATCCCATGATGTCAGCAAAAGGTGTCATCTTCAGCACAGAGTTAAGACTTGTCAAAGTCAAGTGAGTTGCTTTTACTTGCCACTTTAATAAGTTATAACTGTGTGCGAAGGATGGCGCTTCGCATTGGCAATACCTTTGCCAAACATCTGGTACTATAAAAAGTCAACAGTCCGATGCTGGAAATCATCATGAATACTATGGCAAAGGAATCAGGACAAGGTACGTCCCACATGGTCTCTCTTTTCCTACGACTAAGATGTGAAACCAAGTCATACCAACAAAAAATGTATACCCAGAGTTGCAACCTGTTAAAAAGTAAAATATGATTAAGATAAATTATTTAGAAACATTTGCTAAAAATAAAAAAGAATTTTGTTTAAATTCTTTTACAATACAATTGATATATGATATCTAACATTTTCTCATCTCTAAAGATCAGTATGTTTA